AAATTCTGCCTGATTTGGCCAAGGGAGCTGCTTCATGTAGACTTTATTGGCTTGTGTGTTTTTTTTAACATATTCCAGTCTTTCAGGAATTCTGAATCAACTGGCAAAAAATATGGGCTCCCCTCATTGGATTACTGATCAAGGTCTGTCCAATGGAACTGGTGAAAGTGTCCCCCAAGCCACAGAGGATTGTTAGAGAAGGCTGAATAATTAATTTAAAAAATAAATTTGGCTTCTTTCATGAAGGCAAAAGAGTAATAGATAATGGGTTTAAGCTGGGTTAACAGCTCACCAAGACTTTGATGTAACCACGTACTTAAAGAATATGAACCCAGCAAATTCCATCCCAGAGAACACCGTTGGAGAAGTGGTTATTTTTCTATCTAGCAAGCCAACCTTCCAGGAATTCAGTCCATGGGTCCCTAAAAGGCCATGTTGTATTTTGGGGGAGACAGCCCCTGTGTTTGTGAACAGCTGGGTAAAAAGTCTATTTGCAGACAATCCACAGACCCAGACAGGTGCCTAATGTCAGCCAGTTCCTCGGTCTAACCCATGCCAGAAGCCCAAGAATCTTCTAAACCAACCCACTTTAGAATCAAGTTTTTTTCCTGGTCAGGCTTCAAAGATTTGTTGGATTTCAGGGTTTATACAAAAGTTTAATGGGCAAGTGGTAGAACTTGGGTACGTGGTCCGTCTAAGTCCCTAAGAACGTTCTGACACACGGAACCACAACGCCAGGGAGACTCTGAAGTTCACCCAGTGCTAATCCTCCAGAGATGTACTGTCCGCTGCAGCTGGCGCGGGTCCCCAGTTCATCAACAGGAGTGTTGTCACAGTGTCCGAACGATGATTTCCACCTCACGTCTGTCTGGTGCAGTGTTTTCATAACCTTACAAAAACTTAAATTAAAAAAAATATGCAGTTATTTTTTCCTAAAGTTGTATATCCATGAATAATTTACCTGTGCTCTTTGTAACACCTTTTGGCCAGCTTTTTAATTGTAATCTTTAAAAACAACTTAAGGAAGCATTTGGGATCTTGCTTCTTGGCAATTGTTCCAGTTTTAGCTCAAATAAACTCATAAAATTATCTGAAAAATAAAATCAAAGAAACAATATTTGGTATCTCTCTGAAAATGTATGATCTAAACAAAAATATGTGATCCCACTGAACAAAGATTTATTTTTGAGGGACTCTTAAACCCATGACAATGTAAGTGATCCAAACCACGGTGGCAACTACAGTGACATCACACACATGTTGGCTGCTTCCCCGCCATCCTGTTTCCCTTCCTCCTTTTCAGCAGCTCTGCGCTTTGGGTGGAGGGCCCACGTCAGGCTGAAGACGCTGACTCCACTTCTCCGGTTCCAGTGAATGACCGGGCATGGGGGCTTGTACCCTAAGTCAATTCAGTTAGAATGAATCTCAGGACCAGTCTGGCTTGGGACACAGATGTTTTCTCTTCCCTGTTCAGTATGGACGAGGACTCCAGTGATCCCAGGAGCTGTTGGCAGTTACTTTTGGTTCCTGGAGTGTTATTCAACCGTTTGTTTATTCAACAAACATCTACTGTGTTCCAGAGATCAAAATATGCAATTGAGTAAGCCATGGTCACTGTTGTGAAGATATTTATATTCTCAGGGAGAAAAGAGGCAGGCAGGTGTAATGGGAAAGGGAGCAAATAGGTCAAGATTCACGAGAGACAAATTCAGTATGAATCAGATTGGCTGATTCAGAATGTAGAAGTGGCTGTATCTGGGTATCCTTTTTATCAAGTTGATATATCATTATGAGTCTGAGCCAAACCACCCAATTAACTGTGGCTTTAGAGAAATATCTTGCAGTAACCCCACTGCAAAAGGGAAGTCTCCTCAATCCTCAATCACTGGCTACTCTCTTAATTCAAGGTAGAATCTTAACTTGAAAACAGTCTTCTGGTTCTGTATAGATGTTTGGACAGTAATGTCAAGAATAGCATCTTCATTGTTAAAGTGGCAAATAAGACAAAGTGTATTGAATATGCATTAAATACCACCTAGGGACAGGAAACAATAGTACACCCCCATTACCACAGTAACACAACCCAGCCCACCTGAATGGTTAGACAGGTAATATATAGGTGGTCCAGTGGGAGGAGTATCTTCCTAGGGCATCTTATTAGAATCTGCCAGGTAGTTTTTACCAACTAAACACACCTACACGTCACCCTGGGATTTCCAGGTGGGCCCCTGCCTGGAAAGCACTGCAGTAGTGTATCACCCTCACTGAAGGCATTCTCTCTTCCTTACCTTAGTTAGGGGAAATCACCGAGGCCTAGTCTACTGAGTTGCAGTATTAAGAGAGGGCTTTGAAACAATGCACTGGAGGAAAAAGAGCAAATTGTCCAGCCCACGATTGATAACCAGAATCATAAAAGCATGTATAAATGAAGCCTGTTCAGAAAGTATCCAGCCATGTACTATGAAAAAGAAATATTTATTGAAGAAGATACAAGATACAGGTAACATTCTGCATAGGACAATGATGTCTCAGTTCCCTTCAAAGTGGGCACCTTGGGACATCACACAGTTCTCCCAGTGTCTCTTCCACTGTCCAAAACACTGCAAATCCTTTGTTGGAATTGCTATCAGCTGCCCCCCAATTTTCCTGAATCTCATTCATGGTCTGAAATCTCTTCCCTTTCCAAAGTGATTTTAGTTTTGGGAAAAGCCAGATGTCACAGAGCACCAAATCTGGGCTGAAGTGGGGTCTGAGTCACTTGGTTGATCTGATGTTTTGCTGAAACACTGCACCAGATGTGATGCAAGAGTGTTGTCACCATGAAGCTGCCAGTCACCAGCTGCCCATAGCTGTGGCCTTCCGCATCATTTGCATAGTTTTCCCAGAGGAATGTTCAAGCTTAATACAAAATTTGAGGTAGATTTGTTGTTCTACTTGCTCAGTCATTTTGAATGGGACAGCCATACAGTGTACGTGCTCCCTCAATGGCATCTACAGTCCCCACCAACTAGTACAGTGAAATGTCACTGTTCACACATGCACATTCCAGTCCACTCTCCTTGGCTGCCAGGTTACATCGATGTCGTGCAAACCATTCTTATTACATTAACAATGGCTGGACTTTTACTGGGCAGACCTTATATATCATGTATGTGTAAGAGCTATGATCATTGTATTTCCTAATACTGGCCAAAGATGTAAGGAGGGAAGCCATCACTATCGAATACATACCTGAATTCTGACATAAAACTTAGGGATCAAGTGTTGTGGAGCGATCATTCACACCAATGACTTCATATTGCCATGAGAAATGGAAGACCTTTTTTGCGGGGGTCACATACAAAAATCACCACAGAGGTAAAATACTACCTTCCTACACAAAATATCTCTGTCTAAATAGGGGACTCACTACGACGGACCTGTGAATGTCTAGCAAGAGTAATATTATTTGTTGCCTGAAGTGTTTCACACTGTACTTTAGAGAAATGTGGGAACAGCAGATGACACAGGGTAGAAGATTCCAGGGCAGTTGAAATGGATGACGAAAAAGAATTGTTGAAAGTCTTTACAAATTTTTTTTTCCTGATTTTAAGGATCTCTACAATTACACTCTAAGAATGCAAGGAAATGGCAACATGCTTTCGTATACAGGGCGGGGCAACTGCCAATTTCAAATGCGTTGAAACTAATTCTCTGTCTCCCCATTTTACCGATGAAATTGATTGAGGCTTCAGTCCAGCCTTTTACTAAATTTTAAATTAGTTTCTCAACAGACTTCTGATATTTTAGAAAAGAGTAACAATGATTCTTATTTTTTTACATATCTCTACTATGTAGCTGTAGTAAGGTTTCTCAATTTTAAACATTACGGGCTTTAAAAAAAAAATCACCCTTTAAATTAGCCCTCAAAAGATTCAGGTGGGTCTTAATAAAAAAAAGGCAAGTGGTACCAATGATCTATTTCGGAGGTCTTCAAACCTTAAAAATGTAACAAAACTTAACAGGCTGAAAGCCTGTCAAGGTGGTAGCTTCTTAAGTTCCTCAAGTCACAGGGAATTCACACTGGCACACTATTCAAAATGCCAGTGTTAGGCACAAAAGCGCTACTTGGCAAATAAAATGATTCCCCAAAGATGGAAGGTCGGGGGAAGGGTTTCTTTTGCCAAACTGTCGTGGGGACAGTTTTCAAAGAGTGGTACACACCGGGGGCAACCGTTAGGCCAAGGGCAGCCACGGCCAGCGCGACCCTCCCCGGCGCAGAGACGGTAGGCGCCCTCAGGTCTCGTCGCCTCTGCACCCCTCGCTCGGGCCGCGCGTCGCGGTCTCCGCATCGTGCAGCGCGGGCGCTCGCGCAGGATCCAGGTGTCCGGTCCGGGCCCCCCCCAACCAAGCCCACAATTCTGCTTCCCGCCGGGGTCCGTGATCCTCAACACACAGTCCACACAACTGACCCTTGTGAAGTCGTGGTGGGAATTAACCCATTGCCGACTTCCAGAAGGCTGACCAGGTTGTAAGCGCCAGAAGGCGTCCCCGTTGGGCTTGGCGCTCTCACTTAAGAGGGATCCCCTACCCCCGCCCCCGGGGACACGCTCTACGCCACCGCGCCGCGCAGGCGGAGGTGGGGCGGTGGCTCAAGCGAAGGGCAGAGCGCTGTATTAGTAGTCAAAAGTGGGGCTAGGGTCCATCGAAAAGGTTAAATTCCTTACTTCCCTCCAATCACGTGCGCCTCGCGTGTTCTTCGCCCCGCGCGGGCTCACCTAGCTGCGGCCCCACAGTCCCATCCGCGTCCTCCCACCGGCTGCCACCACCCAGACATTAAGACCACGCGGAAACTGCCGAAAGGGAGGCGGCCGGACAGCAGTTGGGCGTGGCTTCCTAAAGAGAGGCGGCCCCTGGGGGCGGGGATACATACGCAATCGTCGGCTCCGACCGCTGATTGGCTGAGGCGCCTGAGCGGAGCCCACAAGCGTCTCCACCCGGCACGGCGTCCCCGCCTCGTCTCCCAGCTGCTCCGTCCCCTCCGGCTCGCGAGGGAACCGCTCCAGCGCCACCGCACCCAGCACAGTGAGGACGACAAGACCGAGGGAGGTGGAAGGAGGACCCGCTTGCTCGCCCCCACTCGCACCGGGGACCCGAGAGCCGGAGCGGAGGCCTGGGGGAGGAGCCGCCGCGGGCACGCCCCGCCCCCGGCCCGGGAAGAGGACTCCGGCGACTCAGCCGGCCGGCCACCGCCCCCCTCCGCCGGCTGAGACCCGCCCCTGATCCTCCCCCGGCGGCATGGAGGAGCTCTGCTCCTGACGGCCGCGCCTCGGCCTCCGCCCCTCCCCTCCCGCCCGCCTCCGCTCGCATGTCCGCGCCGCTTTAGCTGAGGATGCTGAGGATGAAGCTCCCGCTGAAGCCGACGCACCCCGTGGAGCCGCCGCCCGAGGTGGAAGAGCCCGAAGCGGATGCGCGGCCGGGGACTAAGGCGCTGCCGCGGGTCCGTCGCCGCGACTGCCGCCCCACGCCGCCGCCGCCTCCCGCAGGCCCGTCGCGAGCCGCCCCCCCGCCGCCGCCGCCGCCGCCGCCCCGGGGGCTCGGGCCGCCTGTTGCTGGCGGAGCCACGGCGGGAATGGGCATGCCGGGTGGCGGGCCCGCGGCGGCGCTGCGCGAGCAGGAGCGGGTGTACGAGTGGTTCGGGCTGGTGCTGGGCTCCGCTCAGCGCCTGGAGTTCATGTGCGGGCTGCTGGACCTATGCAACCCGCTGGAGCTGCGCTTCCTCGGCTCGTGCTTGGAGGACCTGGCGCGCAAGGACTATCACTACCTGCGAGACTCGGAGGCCAAGGCCAACGGCCTCTCGGACCCGGGGCCCCTGACCGACTTCCGAGAGCCCGCCGTACGCTCGCGGCTCATCGTCTACCTGGCGCTCCTGGGCTCGGAGAACCGTGAGGCCGCCGGCCGCCTGCACCGCCTCCTGCCCCAGGTGGACTCGGTGCTTAAGAGCCTTTGCGCGGCCCGGGGCGACGGCTCGCGGGGCGGCGCGGAGGACGAGCCCGGCGAGCGCGGAGAGGACGGGGTGGGCGAGGAGAACGCCGAGAAGGACGGCTCTGGCCCGGAAGGCAGCGGCGCCGAGTCCCGGGCCGGCGATGGGCTGGGCTTCAGGGCCCAGGAGGAACTGCTGCTGCTGTTCACCATGGCTTCGCTGCATCCGGCGTTTTCCTTCCACCAGCGGGTCACCCTGAGGGAGCACTTGGAGAGGCTCCGCAGCGCGCTCCGCCGGGGCCCGGAGGATGCGGAGGTGGAGGTGGAGCCGTGCAACTTTGCCGGCCCCAGGGCCCAGGTAGGGCGCGCGAGCCTCCCAGCCCTCGCGGGGCAGTGACCGCCCCGGCAGCCTCCGGGGCCTGGCTTTGGGATACCCCTTGGCCGAGCCTGACTGGCGCAGGTGGCTTCGAATCCCCACCCAGGCCCTGTAGTACTAATCGTTTTGCTGGGCCGCCTCAATTCCACCCCTCCCCCCCCCCCACCCCCCGCACACAGAGGCACCCGCCATAACAGAATGCTCTAGAAGTCTCTTCCGTAAAGGAGTTGCCACGGAAAACGTGGTACTCTCACCCCGCCCCACCCCGGATGAAGGGTCTCGGGACATTTTTGGCTTTGAGCATCTTGATCCCTAGATGCTGGAGGAGCCGGTGTATGAGCCGCAGTCTGGCCACTGGCGGAGCCTTGCCTTCCTCGCGGTCTGACGCGCTGCTCGCACGTTTTCGGGCTCTGCCTTAACTGCTCGGCCAAGAGCCCTGAGGTGCGGTGTGCTCCCCGCGTGCTGTCCTGTCTGGCGTAAGGGGTTATTTTGTGCTCAGTGGGTGCCTGAATTATAAGGGGTCGTAACAGTGTTTTTGGCTCCTGCTTAAAGACTTGATTTCCAGAAAAAAATCTGAAAGTGGGGACCTGCGAACTGACTCAAAGTAGTTAAGTAGTAGCGCTGCTTGCCCGGGTAAGGAGCCTCCCCTAAGGCCGGCTGGTTATACCTTTACCTTTGGCAAAGCCTGCTCCTAACGCACTGCAGCAGTGCCTCCAGATTTGGGTCCGGGAATGTTTGTTGACTCTTTACTATAGACCTAAGAGTTGTTTTCTAAAAAGTTATTAAACACCAAAGTGTAGGAAGTGAGAGGCCAGATGAGTCCCTTGCCCCAAACATTATTTTATACAGCCGTGAAAGCAATTTAATAATAATGTAGGCCCCATATAAAGTCCTTGAATGTGACAGTTGAATGGAGAAGGAGCTTTCAGAGTGAAAACTATGTGCAATAAGTGAATTTCCATGGTTCACAATTATTTAAAAGGTATTAACTTGAATGCCTTACTTTTCAATTTAGGTGGTTTCCGGCTTGGTATATTGTAGGAGCCTGCCCACCACCCCTTCCCCTGTCCCCTTGAAAGTTAATTTAACTCGTATATCTGCTATCACTCAGTATCCTGGAACTAAAACTGGATACCGTATTTATCTAGTGACAGTGTGAACTCCACCCATAGAATCCAGGAATTAGGGGTCTGGAAGGTATTTAGCGGTAATATAGGCTGAGCCCCTTCTTTTTAAAATGAGGCTTCTGTGAAGTAACTGTCTCAGTTTTGGGATATAATATCAAACTCAGATGTAGTAATGCCCAATTTTCTTAGCTTGAAATGTTACCTTACAATGTTTACTAGTAGTGTGCAACTGTGTATACTGATGGTAAAAACCCTTTCAATCTTTCAGCCTACTCACTGAAATAATTCAGGAGAGTTCTATGTGCCACTGCCATTAAGTTTAGGAACGAAAGCCTGCACTCGGGAGCAATGCTTATATCTTTAAAAAAAATTCTTGATATAGCTTATGTTGTAAAGATAACCTTAGATCATAAGAATAATGAAAATGCTACTGTAGAACCGTTTATATTATTCCATTCATATCATTAAACAAGGGTAACCAATTTCTGATTTAATAGCTAGGAGTCTTTTTTTTTTCTTTCCCCCTTTTAAAATTTTGTGTATTTGTTGGAAGGCGACTAGGTACGGGGGAGATGCGTGCACACCAGAGAGTGAGATTTGTATCCGGACTGCAGTGTGCGGCCTTTCCTGGCGCCCGGGGAACGCTGGGCAGAGTGGAGAAAGTGAGGCTGGGTGTGCCGCCGTTTCAGCACCTTGTTCCTTGTCAGACAGGGTCCAGTGCTGTGGCCACGAGCTGAAGTGGGGGGAAGAGATCACCGGCCACACGGGGAATGGAGTGGCCGCTGAAGGCGATTTCTGGACACTGGTGATGCGTTCCATGCTGTTCTCCAGTAGTGGTTTGCAGTTACCATAACCAGTTTCTTGCATCTCGCTAAGCTATGACGAGCCCTCATTTTCTGCCTCTGAGCGTGGACACCGGGTCCCCCAGCTGTGTCATGCTCTGGCCTTGAAGACATTTCTGCTTCTGATTCCATGCAGTCGCTCCAGAAGCCGCGGGCGGGGTGGACTGCGTTCCATCCTCGTTCGCTGTAGTCCAACCCAATTTGTCTTGACCTCCCGCCGGTGCCCCCGGGCAGGGACCGCTCACCTTGAAGTCTGCAGGGAGGTGCCCGCGTCTCTGGCGTCTCCGTGCGTCCTCGGTGCGTCAGCGCACAGGCAGGTTGGGGGCATTGCGGGCTGGGGGCACTGCGGGCGACAGTCAGGCGGTGCCGCGACTGCGGGCGTGTCTCGAGGGGCTCCTCCCCTCCCCCCGTCCTGCAAGATGGCGGCAGCGCGCAGCCCACGTGACGTTTGAGTGGCAGGCCGGCCCCGCCCCTCGGGGGGCTGGCCGAGGGTGGGACGTTTCCGGGGTGTCCCCACGCTGGGCCAGGCCCCTGGGAGGCAGAGGGGGGATTCGCGTTGCCCCGGAAGTAACCTTTAGACACAAGGATCTTTTTGCGTAGGAATGAATCCGTTTCTTACTACTGTGTCAGCGTCATCCATGCTGAATGGATAAAGTAGAACTAGGCTTTTAACTTTTTTTTGTATTACAGTAAGTCTACCAGCCCAAAATAGTGTTCCTGGCTCTTTAAAGACTTGTGTTCCGTGCCGCATATAAAGCAGCTTCTCCCACAAAATTTTTAAAAAACATTTTTACGGATAGAACAGGTGCTTTAACGCGAATTTTTTATATTAATTGCATGCTTTCCAGCTGACTGGGCTTAGCAGCTGTTTAGTGATGGATGTACCATGATTACAATGTTAATAGCTGAGGTGACAAGTTAACAGACTTAACCGATAGAATATACCTTCCAGGTCAGTTTAGAAAACTGGAGGAGGATTAAACAAGTCTGTTTCTAATAGTAACATTTCTAGAGTTCTGTGTGATTCGGGTGGTTTTAGAGTAAATGTTACATCGGCTTGTAGCTAAGTGTTGGCATTGCTTTTTGAAGACTTGTGTTCTTCATAACTGTTGACTTCCAGTCACTTGTGTAAAATTCAGCTAACAGGTTAGTGGGCAGTAGTGAAAATACTCATTAACAGCAACAGCGTACTAAGAAATTTGGGTCATTGATGTAGTTGTGTGTTAAGGAAATTATAGATTACGTACATAGCATAACTGAAAAGACCTGGTTTCAAAAGTGGGTCCTTCCTCGTTGGGACCCCAAACTGTGAACGATGTGTTAGCAATAGCAATGCCCTGCCCCCCCCCAAAGAAATCCCTGCGTAAATATTTTTAAAAGTAATAGTTGTTTGTTTGTTTTTTTTTCATTGAAAAGAGAAAAGACAGCCAAGCTTTTTCTCTTTGAATGCCTAAAGACACTTGTTAACTGTTCGTGCAAATGAATGTTAGATTTGTGGAGACTTAACCCTCAATTAGCAACACAAAGGTGAAAAAAGCATAGCAGTTAGTGCTTCGATGTGGCTCGGTTTGTCTGGGGATTGTGTTTTCACTGTCCTCAAAATGTAGTTTTTTGGCACATAGTAGTAATGTTTGAATAAAGATAGAAACTCTAGTATGACACATGGTCATCCTGTGGCTTAGTGTTTTTAAAATTTCCAAGACATACTTGAACTCACAAAAATTAAAGGCCGGGGTCTTTACTCAGAGAAATCAATGGAGTTAGTAAAAAAGAAAACTGCAAAACTGTTCCTTTCTCATAGCATAGGTTAATTAGCTATTTGTACTTGACAGAACAAGTACCTCAGCTCATTTCAATAATACAGATCATGTCTTGGTAATGTTGGAAAGAAAATTTTCAAAGACTTTTTTTAACATTAAATGCCGATTCTAAGATAACTTGAGTGTGTATGTGGCAACCAGAACCTTAGTGAGACCACTGTCTTAAAACGAGAGGGGAGGGTACTGAAAAGATGCTTCCTAAAAGTGATTTTTAAAAAGAACAGTTCTAAAGCTCACCGGTAATAAGTACCTTTAACTTGTTGGCTGCTGCTGGGGGGGCGGGGGCGGGGAGGGTTACACTGAGTAGACTCACAGGGTATTGTCCCTGCTGAGAAGGCTTTCCTCCCTCCTGCAGAGGGAGGAAAAGGCAGTGCTTCTGTCGGGATTGTTGGGACTACATGTAGAATAATATGTGGCTCAGGATCTTCAACAAAAATTAGCAATTATAGGTAGAAGTTCAGCCTTGTTTGAAAGGTGGTAGAAACGTGGTATAGCATCTCACAAACAGAGAGGGGCCAGAGGAAGCCGTGTCTTTCATGGGAAACTGTAGGTTGGTTCGGCTGCAGCAAAGAATAAAAGCGTTTCAGTTATATATGCCCTTTGGAAGAGGCTTTCGGAATGTCAGAGTTAAGTAGTGATGATTTTAGTAACAAATGAGAGCTATTGTATATCCTCCCCCAGTTATGTAAGTTTTCCTGTGCAATGGTTTTCTCAGGTAAAGAGAACTTATGAAAGTTGCAGTTATACCTCAGGAGGAGAGGGTTGTGGAGATGGACAGGAAGCTAAATCTTTTTCTGAAATTAACCAGTGTAATATACACACACACGTTTTTAAAACTTCCTTTGGTGATATTGCATGGGGGTAGGGGAGAGGAACTGGGTTGCAGAGGCCCTCAAAGGCTTGAGCGACAGCCCTGTTTGGTGTATGGCCCACTGGACATGGAGGCTTCAGTCCAGCTCTGCCTCTCGCTCTGATGTTGACCAGCCCACTTAAATCCTGTGCTGAAGTCTTATCTGTAAAATGGAGATAATCGTGACTGAGTTAATGAGATAAAATGCAAAATAATTCACATACTACGAGGGGTTACCCATCCCCCACCCGCAGAATTTATTTATTAAAAATTGTGTATTTATTCTTACATGGTTAAACTTAACTCACCTTCAGAGTATTCTCCATTTGAGGCAATACATCTG